GGGGCCGGGGCTGAGCGGCGCGGGCGTGCGCGCAGCCCTTTATAGCGCGCGGGGCAGGGGCTCCGGCAGACTCTGGGCTCCCCAGACCCCCTCTTACGCCCTGGGGCCCCTGCCACCCAAACTCCCCAGCCTCCGAGCACCGCGGAATCCAAACGACCTCACCGCCAGCTCCTGGACATGACGACCCCTGCCTGGCCCCGGCTCCCGCGCCTCGAGACCGCGGTCGCTCGAACGCTCCTGCTCGGCTGGGTTCTTGCCCGGGTGGCCGATGCAGAAGGTGAGTGGCACCTGTGCCTGTGCCGGGAAGGCCGGGGCGCGCCGCCCGGCCCGCGGGCGGGAACGAGCGGTGCTCTGGCAGCGAGGTGCCGCGGGCCCTGGAGCGCCCTTGCCCCGCACTTTTCCTGGGTGCGTTTGAATGAACTCGGGCTGTGAGGCGCACTGGCGGGAGTCGGGAGGTAGTTTGCGGCCGGAAGCCTGCTGCGCCTTGTGCTAGAGATGTTTGCTAGGTGCACCCGTTGTTGCATAAGCGGATTTTGGCTCCCGCTTTAACTTTGAGAAAAGCTTTCCAGAGAACTGTGACCTTGAAGGTGGTGCGGAGTGGGACCACGTCTGCATAGGTCTGCGTGCCGTGGACGGCTTGGATGTTATCTCCCACGGGTGCATCTTCCCTTAATAAAGAGTGCCCCTGCTCTTGGTGGTCTTTTAGACTTGGGTAGAACCAATCTTTTTGCAAAATGTTGCTTGAATTGGATCAGGCACCACACCGTGCATGGCCCATGCGTCTTTAGTGTTTGGGGTAAGCAGAGATGAGATCTAAGAATGGCAAAGGCTTCAACCAAACACATCCTACCGTATGACCGTGTAACGGGCCGCACTGGCCCACCTTGGTCTCTGGAAATTTCGGTAAAAGAAAAGGACACGTTTGACTTTTTTCGTTTGTATGCATTCCTAACCCTTTTCACTCACAGGACATTTTCCCTTTTCTTAACCTGTTGAAAAAACCTAGCCAGCCTTCCCGGATGAGCTGAGCCTGAGTCCTACCCATCCTAGACACCCTGTAGTGTTGATGGCTCCTGGGCTGTCTGTCCTCCCAGGAATGCAGGGCTTTCCTCAAGAATAAGGGCAAACAAGGGTTTCAGATCCTTGCCTGTTTCCCTGCATTACAGGGTGGATCTTGCCAGGAGGGTATTGTGGATCTAGGAAAAACTTAAAGATTTTTTTGTATTAAAAAATCAGTAGCAAAACTTTTAAGTTTGAAAACAGAAATGTATGTTTTGGTGATGGGAGGCTGGCGAAGAGTATACTGTCAGCCCGAAGTCATGGCTGAGAAGTGCATGTAATAATAGCTGTTTCTCTGTTGTTCGAAGGCACTCCAGTTAGAGCATATAATTTAACTTGGAAATCAACTAATTTCAAGACAATCTTGGAGTGGGAACCCAAACCCATCGATTATGTCTACACTGTTCAGATAAGGTAAGCTAGGTCCAAAAGAGGGAGAAAGAGAGAGAATAGAGGTTTTTGAAGTTTCTTGTTTCCTGTGCTGAACACGGATGTCTTTAAAGCTGATTATTGGATGAAATTATTTAGCCAATAACAAAGAAGAGAGCATTTATTTGCTGTCCATTATCAAGTTCTATCAAGCCTCCAACGTTTCAAGACCTTGAATTGGTACAACATCTTAACTGTTTTTGGAAATGATGGGGAAATTTGTAAGTGGAGTATAAGCCGAGGTGAGGTGAATCCTCATAAGCAGGTACTGATAGTGTGCTTTAGGATCCCTAGTAACTAATCTCATTTAAGAACAGATGTCTTTTTTCCCTTGCCAAGCTGTCTAGACTATGAGCTACATTGAATATGTTAGGCAAGAGGCGGAGAGGAGTTCCAATATGTACATTGCCCTTAGGCAATGTTTTGATTCATTAATCTTTGGACTCTGAATTAAAATTTGGTTGTATATATGATCTCCAAGGAAGCCAAATTCCTGACTCACAACATAGTACGGAAACACCAGAGAACAATTCCATCATCTACACCCTCATCTGTCTGGGGGTGCTTTGTTCATTCAAGCCTCACCTCTGATTGACAGCTTTCCCCAGGGGCCAGTAATTCAGCACATTCAATCTCAGTGTCGAGAATGTGCAACATGTTTTCCTTGATGGTTTGTACCCTACTCTTGGCAAGCTTTTGGGTTCTGAAATGTTCTAGGAGGTTTGGTAGAGATACTAAGAAATAGAGGACAGTGGCTGGAGAAATTATTTTAACACTAATTCAGTAGACACAAAAAGTATCACTGGCAAAAATTAATGGTGTTTTACTGTTTTGTTGTTTTAACTTGTGTCAAACCTTTTATAGTTTTAGGAATGAAACTTATAAAAATAGGGTGGGTCTTTTAGGTGGACATTTTTGTTTTCCAAAAATGAACTCTTTAACTATTTCCAAACCAACTGGGAAGAGGATTTGTGTGTGTGTATACATCCATGTATATACATATATATATATACATAAATATATACATATATATATGTATGAAAAGTGTTTCCTAAGGTAAACTTCAGGTCTGTATCAAAGAAAATAATTACTAATTCTAGTATTACTATAATATATATGCATATATAATATATCAGAAAGAAAAAGGGAATAAAGGAATTTCATAGCCTGAGATCATCATTACAGTATTGCAATTAATGGTCAAACTTGTGAATTCAGATTCTTCAAGTTGAGAATTAGTAGTTAATTTCTTTGATACAGACCTGAAATTTACCTTTAGAAACCCTTCCCTTCTGGAGAGTGAAAATTAGATTTTAGGAGGCATGCTTACACCTAAATACATTCGCTGTTGTGTTTCAACAACAAATGGAAATATCTGTGTGCGTCGGGGTTCCTCTGTAAGCCAGGATGACCTCCCCCTGCTGAGCTGAAGGGCCTCAGATCACATCCATCAGCCTGAGACCAAGTTCTCCGCCCCAGCTGTCCTCCTAACCTTTTTCAGGGATTTCTGGGTTGAAAGGATCATAGCAGTCATTTTCTAGGTAAAGAAATTTGCTCTGGAAAGTGAGAGCTCTATAGTGACCTCGGTGGTGGTTAGTGTCTACATAGAGCTAAAACCATGGTCTCCCTTGTACCCCATACTGCCACCTCTTTAAGTGGCTCTGCAAGTCTGATGTCAGTCAAAGCTGGAGGACAGAAGGAAGCCCTTAGCACCTGGTCCCTTCTGTGCGCCTCCTTCCCTCCCTGCTTTCCCTAACCTGCGCCCCCTTCCCCACCCCTACCCTCACCACTGCAGCCCCTCACAGATGCATTTTCCCCGTAGAAGTGGATTTCAGTGGTGGCTAGACGATGTTCTTGACTCAAGCCTTAGCACTGAACAAACCGCCACTAGTAATACTGATTCCATGGAATGTTCTCAATTCTAAAGCTGAGTTTGCAAAGCTTCCAGAAAACCTGCAACTAAATTAGAGACAGAGGGGCTGGGGATTTAGCTCAGCGGCAAAAAGCGCCTGCCTGGCAAGCGCAAGGTCATGAGTTCGGTTCCTGGTACCAGAGAAAAACCAAAAAAATAAATAAATAAATAAAAATAAATTAGAGACAGTATGTATTCTAGTGGAAGTTTTTAATAACTCAAGAGGACTTTTATTATTTCCAAATCTGAGGGTTTTGCCTTTTCTACATAAATCTTGAAGGCTTTTAAAGTGTTAATGCTCTTAATGACATTCAGACCCCCTAACTAGAGAATTTCCCCTTTGTTGTCTGTTGAAACAATTTCATTACTTAAAATGTTACAGACCCTCCTGCTAAATTTTGCCAAAGACCTTGTGGTCCCTGCTTCTGAGCTGGAAGGAACCAAGTACAGCATCTTGCAGAGGTTTGTCCCCACTACAGAGCCCAACCACTAAACAACTTGTTTGATGTAGTGGTAGAGAAATCAAGTTCCCATTTGCTTTTTGTCACGGAAGAGATATAATGAACATGTATGTTGGTCATTCTGGACTACCATAGCTTCTCTATGTTTATCACAGAAAATTTTTGAAACATAAGAAACCAAAATATCCTGTCAGGCTTCGTTTGTGAATTTTAGAATAAAGAATGTGCTTATCTAGATCCTTTTAGGCTGGTTAGTTCAGAGTTTTAAAGAATATGCATTTATGGCTGTTGTGCATGAATTTAGACAGCTGGATCAATAAGGAGACCCTCGCCTTATGATATATTAATTCATCCTATAAAGGCAAACAAACATCTCAATGTAGCAAAGCCCTACAGCAGCCCTGCTGCTTGGCAGAGAGCACAGGAGCTAGGACCCCAGTGTGAAGATAGCATGCGCTATTAAGGGCTTTAATGATGGTGTGGTGCTGGGCTACAGAAAGGGAGAGATTAGTGCTGAGCAAGGTAATGTGGAGATTCCCGAAGAAAGCAGTATTGCAGCCTCCCCTTGAGTGATGGGTTGAACACTGGCAGGATAACACTGAGGCCTGGAGCAGTAAGTCTTGTCACTTTGCGTGGAAGTCATTTCCTTGCAATCTCAGATTTTGTCAGACTGATACTACCTGTATTGTTATTGTATAATCTTTGTGAGATATGTTCACATCTCATATTTACGTCTAGTATACCGTATTATGAGGCAAACAGACAGCTTTTCCACCTTTTAGTCACATGGCTTTTTGTTTCTGAGCCTCCGAGTCTGCATGTATTTTTTTAAAAATCCAGTAATGTCCTAGAAGAATTACATCAAATGAAATACCCACTTAAAGGGCCCAGAATAAACTGCACACAGTGGTGATGCCTGTAATACCAGCTACTTGGGAGGCTGATATATTCTACATAGAGCACAATGTAACAAGCAGAACATGATATGATAGAGTAATAGACTGTAATAAACGGTTGGGTGTTAGTTGCCTTATCTGTAAAGTCAGGGGTATTACTGAGCCTGCCCTCGCGTTGCTATGGGGACTCATGTGTGTGCCCCTTAAGTGCTCAGCACAGAGGGCGCCTCTTCAGGAGGGTATTCTTACCCTTGGCATGGGACTACCACAGCCAGAAATGATCTGTCTTGTTGGATGTAGCTTATAATCCATTTCTTTTTCTTCCTTCCTTTCTTTAGCTCTGCGTTAGGAGATTGGAAAAGCGTATGCTTCTCCCTCACAGTCACAGAGTGTGACCTCACCAGTGAGATTGCTCAGGATGTGCGGCAGACGTACTTGGCGAAGGTGCTTTCCCTCTTGCCGAACAACACCGGTTTTGTTGAGGACGCTCACTATAGAAATTCCCCAGAGTTTACACCTTACCTGGAGAGTAAGTAGCTCAGAGTAAGTGGTTAGTTTACAGTACCTTTTTTGTTTCTCTGAGCTTCTCAATATTCTTGTGTCTTGTGACCTTTAGGGGCCATGAGTCTAAGGCATATATCCATAAACACACCTTTCTCAGGAACTGCAAATGCCACAACCCTCCTCACTCATTCTAGATCTGGTAGGAGTTTCACAAAATGTGAACTTTAGAGTTGATAACAGTGTCAGGGCTGGGGATTTAGCTCAGTGGCAAAGCGTCTGCCTGGCAAGAGCAAGGTCGTGAGTTCGGTTCCCGGTACTGGAGAAAAACCAAAAAAAAAAAAAAAAAAAGAGTTGGTAACAGTGTCATCAAATAACTTTCTCCACTGGTTTGCCCCCAGCCCCTCCCAGTAACGGGGGAAATATGCATGGGGGGTAGGAAATTAACCAAGGCTGGACCCTCAGTTTTTCCCCATATTCATCACATCTCTTCAATTTTCAGTCCCATCATCAGACCAGAAATCTCAGTTTAGAATTTTTCCAAAATGGTCCCCAATGCATAGGGAAGCCCACAGTTTCTCACTGAGCCTGTAATTAGGTTTGCCGACCTTTTTAGTCCACTGAACTTGATTTGGGGACCGTGATGTGCCGGCACTACCCAATTCTCAGCTTTCTTCCCTGTGCTGGTTCTCACAATGTGGAATGCTCCTCCTGCTCCTCGGCTTTGCCCACCCTGGATCTAACGAGGGAAGGCAGAGGATTCCTGCCGAGTAAGAGGTTCAGATTTCTTTGTCATGACTGTGGTTCTAAACTAGTATTGTAAGTAACCACATGCAGCATATTAAGAGAATGAACTCAGCTTCTCTAAGTTCTGCTGGTTAGAATAAAAGTGTTGGCTGGAAGGACACCGATCCTTTTGTAGTATCTACTTTGCCCCAGATAAATGAGGCTGCTCCCCAGCTGCCCATTGACAAGACCCTCCCTTCAGTCTACTTGATGTTTTTCCCTGTGTGTCACTCTGGCAGGGGCTAGAAGGTAGCTACATTGGCAGCACCTTCAGTACTTTCAGGGTCATTGATAATCCTTCTCCCGTAGTTGTTGACATCTTCACAATTTCCTCTTCTAATTGTTGAGGTTTTTTGTAATCCAAATTCAAACCTTTTGCTAGTTTAGAATAGAAGATATTTTCTATGCTTATTTTACGTTTATGCACACATCATCACATATACTTTGCCCTGTGGCTTGCATAGTATGGTAAACGACTGGAATTAGTTCTCATATCATTTAATCAAAGCACTAGGTAAAACTGAGTCATTACAGAGATCTAGCTATAAAAACTTATTCCTTGATGTACTAAGGATATTCCCTAGGCTTTCCCACAGCCCTGAAGTTATTGTGCCTAAGATACAGATATAGAATCTTATATAAGATATAGAATCTTTGTACAACTGACTGTTCAGTCTGGTAGCCATTAACCACAGGTGGCCGTGGACCATTTGAAATACAACTAATATTGTAAGTGTAAAACACACAGTAGATTTTGAAAAATATAAAATAGCTCAGTTTTTATCTAACTACGTGCTGAAGTGATAATATTCTAGATCTAATTGGGTTAAAGTTTATTAAATTAACTTCTCTTTTTATTTTTTAAATGTAACTATAAGGGTATTTAACATCTTATCTGAGGCTCCTAGTATTATCTCCACTGGACAGCACTGCTTTGAAATGCCTTAGGATTTCGTTCTAAGGCTGCCGCAGCTATTGCTACCCCGGAGTAGGTTCTGTGCCAGTGTTCTCTATAAGACATGATGGAGTTGTTAACTATGATAACTAAATAAGGTTTACTCTGGATAGAATACTTTCGTTCCAACCAAGCCTGTTTTCCACATTTCAGCAAAACTTGGACAGCCGAAAATTGAGAGTTTTAAACAAGTTGGGACAAAACTGAATGTGACAATACATGATACACAGACATCAGTCAGAAGCAATGGCACTTTCCTAAGCCTTCGAGATATTTTTGGCAAAAACTTAAATTATATACTTTATTATTGGAAAGCTTCAACTACAGGAAAGGTGAGGTTTTTTTCTCTTGATTTTTATACCTTGTTTTAAATTGTGGATCCTTGGCTTTTACAGCCCATTTCTTTCCCAATTCAAACCTAGCAGAACAGGGCGGTTGAGCAGATAATATGGTAGAGTGGGAGGGATCAGGATAGCAGGTCCTTTGTCTGCCCACAGCTGAGCTGCTTTGTGACTTTGGGCACAAGAACCTCCTAGGGCCCCCAGTTTCTTCAGCTAAGGGGTGGGATGAGATCATCTTCTGGGGTCCTGTCACCTCTCACATTTTACATTTCTTCCTTGAGAATCTCAGAGACACAGTTTAGTCTCTTTCTTTCCCTCCCTTTCTTCTTCCTCTTTCTTTCCTTCCCTTTCCTTCTTTGTGTGACACTCTGGATCATTACACACGCCACACAAATGCTGTCATGGAGGTACGCCCCCTGCCCCAAAACTTACTTTCTACATAATAAAAAAAAGCCCTTCCTTTCTTTTCCTGCAGGTATTTGTTAAAGAGGCTAAATTGGGTTGGCCCTGCATAAATTGGATCTTTTCACTCTTGGAAAAGACATCATTAGTAGATATCAGGGGATAATTGATTAGCCAAGTCGCTTCTAATTCTTCATGTGTCAGCTGTGTCTGTGTGGACTTTCTTGGAGCCCAGGTTTTTACTTCCACAGCGACTTAGCAAAAAGGAAAGGAATTCACTTGGAGCCCAGATGAACAAAAAACTCTTTATCTTTTCACAGAAAACAGCCATGACAAACACTAATGAATTTTTGATTGATGTGGAAAAAGGACAAGATTACTGTTTCCTTGTTCAAGCTGTGATTCCATCCCGAAAAGTTAACAAGAAGAGTCCAGAAAGCATTACTGTGTGTACAAGGCAAGAGAAAGGTGTATTCAGAGGTAAGTAGCCCACCTGTCACTCAGCGGGGAGCCTTGGATGCCCCATCTCAGAACCAAGATGAACCTGTTTTGTTAAATCCTCAGGGGGAAACTGCCTTGAGTGTTTTAAAATTTTGTGTTCTGTTAGGGTTTGGGCCTTTGGAAATGATTCTGTGTTGTTCCCTTGCTTTCAGCAAGTGTTTCTCTTAGTACTTACTGTGTGCAAAACTTTCTAGAGCCTTGGACTTACAATATATTTAGGACTTAGCATCAAGACACAGCTTTCTCTGGGCTTTTTTTCCTACTGATGGGGGAAGTAGTTTATGGACCCGTTTATGTACCCACCACCATGAATCGTTGCCACACATAGTGTTCAGATACGTGCTCTGATTTTCCTACATTGCCTGAGGCTGAAAGTGTGGGTCTCCCTTCAGCCTCACAGCCTCCATTCAGATCTGAGTAGTCTCATGGAGCGAAAGCCTCAGAGGATGGTCATGGTGACCTAGCTCCTTGTTAAGACAAGGTTTTCAAATACAAAAATACTTTTAAATAACATTTTCTCCAAAAAAAAACTTTTACAGAGCCCAAACTCTGTACTAAGCGTGAATCTTTGTTAATGAACAAATTTGAGAAATTTCCAGGATGCATAGAACTTTTACTCTCGTGTAGAATAAAGGAGAAAAGCAAATGTAAAAAGTAGACATGCACAAAAATAGACAATTACATGTCTTGATCAAAATTATAAAAGAACGTACAATAGAAATCAGTGTGATGGCCTAGCTATAAACACCAAACAAACAAATAAGAGTGTTCACTCTTCTTATGGCTGGTGACATTTTCATTTTGGCCCTGCAGTGTACGGCATTCATGTTCAGTGTTTCAAACCCACGCTAGGAGAGAGAAGGGGAAAGAGATTTAAAAAACGAAAAGAAAGGGGCTGGGGATTTAGCTCAGCGGCAAAGCGCCTGCCTGGCAAGCGCAAGGTCGTGAGTTCGGTTCCCGGTACCGGAGAAAAACCAAAAAACCAAAACAAATAAATAAATAAAAAACGAAAAGAAATAAGCTGTGGTATGTTCATGTAATCACCCCCTAATCATTCCTCTAAAACATGATTGTAAATTGCATGAATTGCAAACATATAGTAATAAAACAAAAATTTTAAAATTAAACAGGGCCAGACATATAGCTCTTCGGCATAAGCACCTGCCTGGCAAGAGCAAGGTCCTGAGTTCAATTCCTGGTACCAAAAAAACAAAACAAAGTAAAATTAAACAAATAAAACCCACTCTAATTCTGCCACCTCTACCTTTGTCAGGTCTCTCCCTCCCCTCACTATTCTTTGTTTCTGAAATGTGTCCTCTGAAAAGTGTTTCAAAAGGGGTCTCTACCAGGAAGTCGCCATACTGCATCTGCCAGTTACCTTTACCTCCTCGCTTCATCCTGGTAGCATTTTGGATCGCTCTTTTCCCCTGCTACTAATCTGCTGAAATCACTGCTGCCAAACTCAGCTACATCTTTAGCCACATTTCCAACAGCTGTTTTTACTTTCAACCACATGTATCTTTTCTAGACCGAACATCATTAAGTGGCTCATTTGGTGCTTCTAACTGTTGTTGATTCCTCTAAAACATGTACGTTTTCATAAATTGTTTCCTGATGTAAATGTGGTGGAAAGAGTGAAAGATACTTCAAATGGCACAAAGGCTGAACGGTGTGCTGTGGAGTCTGAGCTCTCCAAGTTGATTTGGTGCCTTTTGCTTTTCAGAAATGTTGTTCATCGTGGGACCAGTGATTTTGGTCATCATCATTGTCATTATCCTGTCCCTGTTTCTGCACAAGTGCAGAAAGGCCAAAGCCAGGCAGAGTGGGAAGGAGAACTCACCACTGAACATTGTGTAAAAGAGGCTTAGTCGGAGCTGCAGATTCCTGCACATGCTGCATTGCACAGCGACCAAGAATGTCTCAGAGAATGTGTGTAAGCACAAATTGCATGGAGCATGAGCCCTTTGAGCTCAAAAAACCTCCTTATATGACCTGTTATTGCAGTTACCATTCTGGTTTTGGTGTCAGCACCACTCACTTTGGAATGTAACAAACGGTACAACCAATTTCACGTTGTTTTAATTTTTAACACTATGGTGCCTTTTGCACATATCATGCCTTAGACTGTATATTCTGGACTCAAAAAGAAACTAGGCCTCAGGGCAAAAGCAATTGAACAGATGCCTTAAAATGTCCAGGGTGGACTTTGGAAGAATTTTCAAGAGGCTGACTTCAAATGCAAACGGTACAACCAGTTTCACGTTGTTTCAGTTTTTAACACTATGGTACCTTTTGCACATATCATGCCTTAGACTGTATATTCTGGACTCAAAAAAAAACTAGGCCTCAGGGCAAAAGCAATTGAACAGATGCCTTAAAATACCCAGGGGGGACTTGGGAAGAATTTTCAAGAGGTTGACTTCAAATGCTTTTGGAAAGCAAAATGAAAATTGGGTAGATTTTCCTAATGTACATCTGTTCTCTTACAATATATGGTGTTCAGGTTCTCTTTTTTTCCAGGGGTACTTTTGGAAGTTCAGTGCAATTGGCAAACATTTATATTGTGTTAAATACAGGAGACATCTATTTTGGGTACTTTTCTAATATGCATTACAGTTTAGCACTTTAACTGACTTAGGTGATGTTTATTAAACATCTGACAGCTAACTATATTTTTATAAGACTACTAATGACAGAAACTACATAAAGCTTATGATTTAAGGTACTTAAAGTTTCTATAGCTAACATTGTATATATTTATGTAATTTTTAAAAAAGGTTTTGTATATTGGGATTTTCTATTTATATAGATTATATTTGTATATATTGAGATAATTTATTCAATATACTTTTATAGAAATAAAGGTGACTTGGGAATTGAAACTATTGTGTATGTTATACCTTCCATTTATGATTTGGTGTTTGCGTTAGTCAGCTCTGCTGTAGTAACAAATGACCCTAAAATTCTCCATGGCTTATAACAACATACCTTTATTTTTCACTTGTACCACTTTTGGCAACTATAGACTGATTGTAGCTCCTCGTAATGGCTTCTCATTGCAGGACCAAAGACAAAGAAGTCTCTATTTGGATCAGGGCAGAAAGAGAAACAAAAGAGTGGTAGAAGCAGGCAGCTGTAGCTTCAAGCTTTATGTCACCTGTTAAAACTTCTTAAACGTACTGGCCCATTGTCACTTCTGTTCACATGCCAACAATACTGTGCTTACTGGGAGGCACCATAAGTCCCATGGCAATGGGCAGAGATGCAGCCTCACAGGAAAGGGAGAAATACTGCAATTCAGTGCAGACTTGGTGAGATTTCTTCCCACAGACATTAGTTTGGGTTGTAGATGAATGGTAAGAGAAAAAACAAAGTCTTTACATTGTTGTGTTGAAAGGAATTTAGACAAAAGGGTAATAAAAGACAGAGAGAGAGAAGTAGAATGAGGTCTCTGGACTGGCAGCTCTTTGTGGCAACAACTGGGTCTATCTCTTTGTTCCCAGCTCCTTTGGAGAGACTGTGTCCATGCACTCCACACTGCTGAGCAGAGTTCAGTGTGCTAGCATTAGAATTAGGAGCGGTGAGGCCTCCATTCAGATGCAGTCCAACAATCTTGTTCTGTCACCCTCTAGAAAAAAGGTTCGAATGAGATACAAATAAGGTTCTTAGCACCTAGCTGAGACACACAACCTCTTTCACTTCCCAGTGTGAAAGTTCAACCTGTTGTCACCAAGGAAACATCTGGATGGCATGCTCACCTAGAACTGTGTACCCATAAAACACTGGGCAAGCACAAAAATAACCAAAGACAGTTCACCATTAAGCTGTTCATAAATTTTAAACCCATTTTGTTCCTTGGCACGAAAGATTTCTAAGCATTGTCAGCCACACAAAACATGAAGTGTTCAATGTAACACCACATCCTAAGGAAGAATGAGCAACACAAAACTTGATGTTCCCATAAAAATGGGAGTCTTAAAGAAAAGAAAATGGTAGGCATTAAAGCAAACAGACCACTAGTTGGTTTATTTGGTCAGTTTTATTTGTCATAGTCTGTGCTGATGCTGGAGAGGCTGAACCTTGCAAAAGAGCAGAGTCTCCTCAAAGAACTGCAATAGCCATGACCTTGACTTCTTGTTCATATGGACTTTCTGGGACAAAGGGCTTACAGCCCCACATAAGGGGCAGGGTGAGTTCAAGAGTGGGTATCTGGCCAGACACTGCCTTGCCAGGAATAATTATAGCATTATGTAATTCCATGGCTTCATAATCTAAGGAATCTGAACTATCCCATTAAAGAACGTTTTGGCAGACCAAAGCAGGTCTGGGTACTAATGAGGTTCACGCGGAAGGAATTCATTAGAGACCTGAGTGAGGTTCAACTCAAGGTTCAGAAAGCTTCCACATGGCAACTGCTCACCACTCCTCGTATTGCCACACCTCTCCCCACTGCTGACATAGAGCAGCTGCTGTTAAAATCAGCACTGTAGTTGATGGGCTCAGAGCAGAAAACCATACTGATAGTATGTGGAAGCTACTACCCTCTAATGAATCAAATTATACTTTGTTACTGTAATGAACCCTATAAAGCTAATTGTTAGTAAACTACTATGCTATAAAGAGTTTTTTTTTCACCTTAAGTTATGGGCTGAATTCGGCTTAAATATAAGAAACCAGTGAACATAAAATCCAGACAGTTTACTTATAGCCATGGCCTATAATCTAAGTATGTACCTCTCAAGTGAATAATTATCTCTAGCCATCAAATAGTAATAAAGTCATTCCCAAATGCTCTTTTCACTTGTTCTAGGACATGTCAGTGTATAGTCAGTTTCTGTCTGGGGTGACAAGTCCCAAAAACAAGGTGCCACAGATGAAAAGAAAAACAAGAGACAGTTATGGGATCAGGGGGCTTGCGGCCTCTTGGACTGAAGCCTTGATTCCCATCCTCCTTAGCCTTTTATTGGGATACAAACAAAAAGCAGCAAAAGGGCAAATGGGAGGAATAATTAACAGGATTGTCGAGGACAGTACAACTCAATTATCACAGGACTGAGATGACTTAGTTAGCCATCATGTTACCATTGCTTTGGGCATGTCTCAGCAAGGCATCTAGTGCTGTCCCAGTGGCTTTCCACAGGGACACAGGTCCTGCTATCATTTCCTTTTACACCAATGCTTTTGCTAGAGTCAAACAATCATATGGCTTGCTCAGGCCTGAAGTCTCGAGTAGGTAATACATTGAAAGATACGCTAAAGAATGTTCTTCTCCACAGGGACACTTGTGTTTAGCATGTGTCATCTTCTCCCAGTGGTTGCCTGAGGGTTATTATTGTTGTAACATAATGCAACTATCATTCATTCAGATGCATTTAGAGGGTAGCCCTTTTTTTCAACTGGGAATCTGACTGAGTCTGGTTTTTCCAACTAATCCTTGCATTCCTTCTGCATGGCTGCAGACACTGGTCAATGAATGGACACATGACTTGATCATGTCTATGAAAAATGAGTCTCAGGGCTTTCCTGGGAATGGTACGATGCTCTCTATCTGGAAGAACATAGTAAAGAAATGCATAGCCCCAAGAGCTGTTGGAGGACATCTTGAGACCACCAGGCAGCCAACTTTAAATGGAGCTGGCATATTGGAGAGCAACGTAGAGGGTGGAAATAAGGTTAGTCTTTGGGAACATCTCCAAGCTGGTGGATCAAGCCTTGACTGATGTCTCTACCTTGGATTTTTCATTGGACACAACCCAACTGATTGTTTAAGCAAACTTAATTCCAGTTGTCTGTTAATTATAGTCAAAAGCACCCTAACTGGTGCCATATAAGAACTGACCACATAGTATAAAGGAAGAAGGCATCTATAACCTAAAATAACACTGTAAAGAAACTTTCCATGTAAAGTAAGATTCCATTTTCATGCCTTCTCAACTACTTAATAAATTTGTCCTGACATTATCCCCTCTTTCCAGCACTCTTTCTCTCTTATTATTTGATCATTACCATCAAAATACAAACATACTGCATTACTTTTTATGTTTAAGAAAATTTCCTTTGACTCTAAAAATCCTCATCAAAATTTTTGTCCTCACCTCCTACTCCTTGGACAGCCTCTGCTCTCCAACTTTTAAATGTTGTATTCCTTTACTGCCTGAACTCATTCTCTATCAATAACCACTCTTTGGGCAAAATAACAAAGGTCATGGCCCTATCATCTAGCTCTCATGCTATATCCCCATAGCATCTACATGCTGGTGACTCCCAAATGTGTACTGTAGCCCCAACCTGTTTGCTAAAATGCCAGGGTTGCACTGAAGATGTAACCACGTACATACTTCTCTATCTGATGTCTAATAGGGATCTCAACTTCAGTATTTCCAAGAGAGAATCTTTCATTTCATTCCACTTGAAACCCACTCCCCCCACTCCAGACATTCCTATTTCAATAAGACCCACCACTGGTTCAAGCCAAAACCATTGGTGTTATCACTGGCGTTCCTTCTCCCGTGACACTTTCAACCCAACAGTGAAGCTTACCAGCACGATCTTTATATCCCACTACCAACAGTACTACCTCCTCCACTCTGCCTTGACTTCTAGCCACTCTCTGTGGCCACAGCTGGTCCCCTACAGTCCATTTTCCTCATAGCAATCATTGAAATCCTTTTAAAATATGAATTCTCATTTTATGAACATGGCTTTCAACTAATGATGTGGATGGAGGGGTGAGTGTAATGTGGCAATTTGGCTAATCTGGAACCATGTTTCTGATAATCCTCTCCTCAGTCTGGTTCTAGATTAGAGTAACCAAAATGTTGCTGGACATTCTGGTCTGTACTGTCCATTGAGCCCCAAACACACAAGAGATAATCTTTGGTGGAAAGGAAAGACAATTATACAAAGTTAGCTCTAAACCAGGAGTGGTGGTACATGCCTGTTCTCCCAACACTCTGGAAAGCTGAGGCAGGAGGACCGAAAGTCTAAGGCTAGCCTAGGAAATTTAGCAACTTAGTGAGAACTCTGTCTCAAAATACAAAATAAAAAGCCTGATGATGTAGCTCAGTGTGAAGACCTTAATTTTAATCCCTAGTACTGAAAAAAGAAAAGTTAACTCTGAAGGAGACGGGGAGGCCTTTATACCAA